ATTCGGTGGGCTCGAACAGGTATCTAAACACACGGGTTGGCTAGCCAACCAACTGTATCGGCGTCTTGTCAACTCCAAACACTCGAACAATATGCCAGTATACCGGATATACAAATCGAAGGATTCGAGCTACGATGATCAACAAACGCAAGGTGCAACCATAGCTTTCAACGTTTGTAGGAGTGATGGATCGTACGTCGGTCCGTGGCATGTCGGCTCCTTCCTTCGAAAACATGCGATCCATGTTCGTACGGGCACTTTGTGCAATCCCGCTGGGATATCGTGTGCATTGAAGCTAAATTCTGAGTGGCTACGTATGGCCTTTGAGAGGGGCTATCGGTGCAATACGGAGCTTGACATTGTTGAAGGGATACCTGTTGGTGTTGTAAGGATTACATTTGGAGCTATGAACACCACTGAGGATGTTGAGAAGCTCTTTAGAACTCTTTCCCAACAGGTCCTCCAGGAGGAAAATCATCTCCAGACTGTAGAAAGGAAATGTATAGGGAAGAAGGACTCCGTCATGGGATACAGGGAAAGCAAACTGGTAGTGGAAGACTTCGAAACTCAGCCGAAGGCTATGAATTCTGGAGATGATAAGCCTACTAAGGACGTTCCACCTAGAGTCAGGGGTCGACTCAATGACCTGAGGAGGCTATTGGAGCGTTATCGCGAGGAAATATCGTAAGGCAAATGAGATGTGCGACCATTAATCCAGTTCGGCTACCTAAAATGACAGTTAGATCCAAAGGGTTACAATGGTGTGTTGCAGCAAGGTGAATTCATGTATGCGACCAAAGCTGCCAGTCGATCCAACCCATGCCGATCATCTCCCACATATCCAAGTTGATTGGTGAAGAGGTTAGACTCATCACAAGGGCGTCCGGTACAGGCCAGACAGTGTCGCGAGATGGAGTTGATCCCATACGGCCTTCAGGCAAGTCTTCCGGTCTTTTTCAAGGGCTATGGGCCTTTTCTGAAGACAGTTTGAATGTTGAGACGAGAAGGATCCGAACGGCTGTAGTTTGACCCCTGCACCCAGCTCCAAACTGGCCACGCCACATTGGAGCTTCCGAAGCCATTCACAGTTATGGTAGGGAATACCTTCCTATCATGATAGTCAGCTGTTTATTCAATCTCGAATTTTGATACGAATTCTATCCCATCGCATTTGTCCGTATTTAGCAAATGGGGTAAACACAAACACGAGCATGCTAAAAGTTGTCGTTGGATACGAAGCTGGCTGTATTACACGTTTTAAGCTCACACTACATCAGAAGTACGAGGTATGTTATGCTGTATCTTTTATGGTCAACGATAAGCTGTTCGCGAGCCTTTATCCGAGACCAGGCTTGAATGAATGACTCACTCACAACCCAGATACAAGTACATATTTTACCCATGCACGTAGGTGTGGACATATTCACATGGATGCCTTGGGATAAAGTAAAATCACCAATACGTTCTCCGCCACTGATATTTATCTCAACTCCAATTGTGAAGCATAGCCTCATTTTTGATCCTTGCGCTCAGGGGTTAGCGATATGCGACCAGGCGCATGATTGACACCAGCTGAAAGCAAAAACATAACCCCTCTCATTAACGACACAAATATCAAATATATTTGAGAGTGATAGGCGCTCATATAGCCAAGTGATTATCCAACAGTTTCAGTGCGGGTGACCAGACGTTCCAATTCGTGAAGTCGAACAATCATCACACCGCTTACTGCGTTAGTGCCAAGATCTCGACGGTAAAGAAAACCAGCAATCGCAATGAAGTCCTGGAAGATTGACCAAATCTCCTCGGACTGGTCTGGTCGCCCCGGCTGCTGATATCTCTCGGAAATTTTGTTCAGATGCTTGTAATCAATAATGTTCGTAATGGCGCACTAAGCCACAACTGACGTGTTTAGCTGCACGGTAGCGTGGCCTACTCCAGTGCTAATCAACCTGTGAGGGCCTGCATCAATTTATGATCTCAGAGTTTGCCATGAGACCTATTTACAGTGACCCGCATACAGAACTGAAACGTGTTTTTCACAGAGCAGCTAAAATCAGTCATGAACATGCAACTTACGGTGCCCAACTCATGCCCTATTAGACTATCTTTTGATGATAATTACTGCCTTGAAAGATGTTTGAGCATAATTTGTCTTGGTAACGGTACTTTTGTCAAGGGATTTTATCCAAGCCGCCCTGAAAGTGAAGCCATGTAACACCAAGGCGCCTAGGAATGTGATCTGCAGCTTCTTTTACGCGTTAAGATCGACAGCATATAAAGGAGACTTCTGAATAGGCGAGTGAAGCGATGGTACGCCTCACATTACCCTGGTGCAGACATGGAAAAGAAAAAATGACTGGGCTAAGGTGTTGCACGTTGCTAAGCCTGACTGGACGTGTTTTCAGCTACGGCTTGCTACGTCCAGCATCCAGGGAGAATAATTTTAAATTTCAAGGAGTATGATTAGGTGTTTAATGGGATAGGAAATAGGGCGTTGTTTGGGCTCTAATACTCTGAAGGTAGTGGCATCCAAGTCAGACTGCGACGAGCGAAATGCATACTGCTTCGGGCGTAATCATCGATCTTTCAATGGTCAGCAGAACAGACTCGTTAAATATGGTTACACGTGGTTGTTTGGAGTGTACCACGCTGGAAGTTTGATTGAGTATGCAGTGCCGCTCGTGTCGCATGCTCGGTTACAGAGGGCATAGGCAACTTACGCAAATGCTGCTTTCCGAGATGCATGGCGCAATCGACTTGTGTTTGTTGTATGTATGTAAATGTGATCTCGATGCATTGCATGTTTGTGTGCTACCTACCAGCATGTAAGAAATGACCATTGTAATCGCGCTATATGCAAACCAAGTCTTATGACCATGGCTCCATGATTCACTGCAAACCTCATAAACACTTTGACCACTCGATATTTCAAAGCTGTAACCGTTAATAGAGAAGAAAAGCTCGGTATCTTTGCGCATGTTCGACCCTGGTAACCGATGATACAAAAAAAGAAACATAAATATGTGGGTGTAACTATTACACTTATGCAAGTCTTGCTGGCACATTCGAAGAGTCACACGACGATATTAAACGGTATTGGAATATTGTTGAGATCTCAAAAAAGAGAGAGGCAATGTTGCCACAGCCTCTTGAGCGACTTCATAATAGAAGAGAGCCATTCGGGGTTACCGAAAAGAACAGTTCGGCATCCAGTGTTATAGCTTGCACAGCCACCCTGTAGCGCTGGATGTACCCATTGCTTACCAAGGCGCTATATTTCTCAGCCAAAAAAAAGATTTAACTGCCATTTTCCCTTTCGTGAGAGCTGGTGTCACCTGACGTTACATTTCGGAGGATATCCCATTCTGGGTAGTGGAAGGGATCGTTGTTTTCACTATGACTTGTAAGTACCAGCACATACTTAGCTGAAAGACCTCTCGATACGAACTTATATGCCAAAGCTCAACCGACAGTGCAACCAATCCTCTCTCGTGTACCGTCTATCGCCACTTCCCCATCGTACGCCACTCGCCTCCTATATCTTACATGTGGCAAATCACCCCAACTCTCTCAGCCAAAGGAAGACATCTGCCTTGGATAAGAAGAGCATGCTCCTCAGTCGACCGCCTAACACGCTCTCCTGGGACTGATTGGACTCAATCAAAATTGGATACTAGGCAACGGGCCATAGAATGAGAATGAACCCCACAACCGGCCCAATCGAGTTCTAGGCAGCATTAGGCTTCCCGCAGACAATGACTTCCTTGCTCCACTCCAGGCATCTACAGATACAAGTCGGACGCTGTGTTGTTCGCGAACAACCTTTACCCCCTTCTTTTCCTTTCTCGAGCCTACCTCCCGATGTTACGGCTCCGGTGGAGCAGACACCCGGCAGCATACTCAACGAAAAGGATGATGGATATACCCGTCTCCCTTCGAGAAGAACGAAATCGATGCGACTCGTGTGCGGATGCCGGGGCTTCCGCCATGCTTCTCGATTCGCTCGGAACACAGGATGAAAGAGGCTTTACAGATATTATGCGGCAAGACCTTCAATTACAAGTGAAGTCAGCCTTCCCCTCCTCTTATGACTTTCTGGGGGTGAGGCATCCGTCCGAAACGTGCTTGCATGCTCACGCATTTCTGGTCCCTGTTAGGCGAGTCTTCTGTGGCGATAGGTTGCCCTGTTCTCTGGGATAACGCCAACCCTGGTAATGGGGTGAAGATCCCCAGCATCTTGCTGGTCCCACATCGGCAGTTATCGTGCTTGCTGATTGTCATCGGGCTGAGTTGGCTTCGAGCATTGTGTCCGTGCAATTATGTGCTAGCATTAATTAGCGCAGGACCCTGTTGGCATGAGCTCCACACAGGTACAAACCTCACGATCCTTCCTACACTCTTTCTTCCATCAACAGAAGCTCACTTCGGCATCCTCCGCTATTGTTATTGAACACAACTGATGCAAACAGTTGAGTAATACTCGTGTGCTGTTTGCAGCGCATGTTGAGCCTCTCTCTGCAAGAGAGGTGTGCACGGTTGCTTGGCTTGCTGAGCTCTTTCTCAGCCACGACCGACTCGAGCTTGGAGCTACACGAAGAAGGACGATAGCAGACGTCTATCGAAACGCCAACAAAGAAAACCACATAAGAAAGGCTTTCTTGCAAGGGAAAAAGAATACGAAGAACCACTAGGGCTGCGCTACATCGTCAGCATTACACAAGACAACTGGAGAGGGCACACATTATGTGTACTTTACCTGAAATCTGTTTGATCTTCTTGGACCTGAGAGGAAGATGCGGAGCCACATGTTGGGAAGCACACAATCAATCTGCTGTCGACCAGGAAAAACATTGGCTATTTAACCGGCGTGCAAAAACCAAGACTTAAAAAAAGTAGAAGAAGTGGTTCACCCGGCTCTTGTTGTCGATGGAAGAGTCACTTTACTACTCGAGACCGAATGTCGAAGCAGAAATGCAATGGGGCTAAACAGAGATGTTTTACGCATCACCATCCAGGCCTCCTGGTGCTGGGTTCCGTCTTCCAAGCCGCATCACTAGTGTGTTTCTGCCTACGAGATGAGGATGATGACTCCTATAGTGCTTCAGCCGAGCATCTGATCGTCTGAAGACCTTCCCGCAGTTGCTATCCTCGCAAATTACGGGCTCCTTTCCTCCATGGTAGTCTCTTTTGTGTCTCGCTCTGTTGCCTTTCCCGTATCTACCGGAAAACGTAGCTTCACATCTGTTTACACCACATCTCAGGACGCCTTGATCAAGGCCGGATACAGCACTAGACGAGGTAGCCTCAGTGATTTGGGATGATGCCGAAGACGCTCGTCTCTTGCCGGGAAGCCCTAGGTAACGACCAGGATCTGAACGAGGGTATCTTTCAAGATGTCCTCGTGTCATTGCAGCTCCCTCCGCTTCGAGCCGCTCTCGATTTCGAAAATTGGTTCTCGAGCTAGAAGTATAGTCGATGCCCAAGGGAAACCTGTAAGAATCAAAAACATCGGTTTGGTTTGCTGGCCCTGAGGATTGGGGAAAGTAAGGGCTTTCTGATGACACAAAGGTTTCGAAACCACTGTGCACCGAAGGGACTGGGCTCGGATCACCGTAAGCGGACATCGAACGGGCAGCATGCAAAGGCATCCAATTCATCCCTGTCTGCGTTTGCCTTGTGGAACGGGTGGTCTGACTGCCATCCATTAGGCCGATTGCATTCCAAGGCTCTGGGGTAGATTCGGGCATGGAAACGCTGCCTTGTTCTTGGTCCAGTGTGAGATCGATTGATATCTCTGGTTCTTTACCATAATACTGTTGAAACTGAAGATCACTGCTTGAACTTTTTGGCGTCCCGCAGGTATCTTCATCAATGACATGGGCCCCGAGGTGTGACAAAGTGTTAAAATTGGGAGCATACGCGTTGTTTGCTGTCTCATGTACAGAGTTTGAAAAGTTGTTTGGAGCTTGCTGGAAAAGCTCCGGTTGGATGTGTGTACCATGGTAAGCATTTGGCGCACTCTCGTCTTGATAGCAAGTGCGATTATGCACTGGCATCAGTGGTGTATGTCTACTTTCCATCGTTCTATGGCCGTGGTGGGGTCCGTTAACGCAGTATACAGCATTCTCTCTGAAAGATCCTGGGTCCTGGTTCACTACTCTGCTTGGCGGTTGCTCAGCCGAGTATCCTTCGGATCCTACATGGTGCTGGGAATGAGTACTTATTAGATGACCGTTTTGTCCCCAATGTCCTGCCAGAGCACGCTCACGGCAATTTTCAGGGTACGGTGCACAGTACTGATGTGTATGGTGTGCATCTATACCTTCAGCGCTCTGGGCATCCATGGACGGCAGGGTTTGGCACATTTGTTGGTGCTCTAGCCAATCTACCCCATCGAAACCGCTACCCGTCTCAGGCATGATTTGCATGATTGAGGGTTTGAACATTACGGGGCCTTATATTATGGCCTCAGATAGCTCCGAGTGGTTGCTACGGACGGAGAAAGAGACAGAAGGTGTGAGTGTGAGCTATCAAGCTAGGCTGGAATAGAGAATCACACCGCGTCCTCGGAAACAACCCCACTCAAGATATATGAGCTTGGAAAAAACGCTTCCGCCCTTCGGAAAGACGCCAAAGACTCGATCGATCCGTACTTCAGTATATGCGAGCTATAGTATACGATTCGCTTGGCTGTGCCAACAAGGACTGCTCCAAGTGCCTAGTAAGCGTGTGCAGAAGAAAAGGAGTTCGGATGGACATACCCTTTAGCCGAGCAGATGTTCGTCGAGGCCTTACGGTGCCTGCCAACAGCCTGGGGCTTGTCTCTTCTGCTCACAAGTCGGAAGCCCGTTAATCCAACGTGGGATATCCAAGATGTCTACCAAGTGCTACGATCTAAGCTATGCTGGCGAAGCAGAGATGGATATTCCTACAACGAGAAGGGTGGGAATTGAAGAGGGTCGAGGATAGGCGACAAATATGTTGTGGCTGATGGCGCGGTACGAGAGCTTCACTTTTCGCTACGGAACAAGCTCAGAGGACGGCAGGTGGCCAGTATATCGTCTTCAAACTAACAGGGAGTCAAATCTGTCAGCTACTCGAGACGGTATCGAAGCGGTCTGCTGGGCTTGCATCACAGGGGGCGGCCTTACCAACTTCGAGAGACGTCCTTCAGAAATCTCCCAAGATGGCCCTCCAGCCTCGGACGCATCAGCGCCACGTCAGGCATATCCAGATGGTTGCCTTGCCGTAGTGGTGAGCCTTGCTCGTCAGTGTTCGGAGCGGATTGTCTCGCCAATGGCAATGACAGAAAACATAGAGGGTCGGCGTAGGGCGGTGACGATGTCGTGGATGAGACGAGGCGTACAGACGATTCTCGAATGCCCATTTTCGCAGGATCCAATGGGCCGAGGGGGATCTGGATGGACCAACCTCACAGCAGTAATTTCCAGTGTCGACAAGGCGAAAAAGGCGGCCACGACGGCCACGTGTGCCGAAAGTGCAGATGCACGCATACCACGAGCTCTCATCAGTACCAGGGATAGCAGAAAGTAACTTGAGAAGACGGCGCAAGCTCCATAATGCTCCAAACACAACGGCATCTCATTGCCGTTCAACGTTCGTACCATCCAAAATGCACAGCAATAGCCAGCTGCATGCATGGCTTGCAGCAATGGCCCTCGGCATCATCACACGGGCAATAGACATGCAGTGAAACCCCCCAAGACGGCGAGGCAACTGGACGGGTGACACAAGAGCTCGCAGTTGGTGATGCCAGCACACGCCGCTCTCCACCACACCCTGTCTACAGCCACGGCTGATACTACTATACGTCTGGTTCTCAGTATGGCGAGGGCGCCTCGAAGGGGGACACGCCTCCCGTCATGGCAAAGCGCTGATTTAGCGCCCGCGAACGACGGACGAGACGGCACGGCACACGCATGTTGCTGCAGCTAGCCGCGCCGCATAGTCTTGCTGCAGCATCTGACGCGAATGCCTCCTACTCGAGTGGTATGCAATTCTTACAAAGTGAAAAAACTGCATGCACCAAATTTTACGCTTGATTCCTTCCAAGTGGTCCTCGTGCGTACGCCTCTGCCCAAATACTCAAGTACTAGTATACGGAACACCATGTTAAGGGTCGAACCTAGCTGCCCCCACCCCACCATGAGCTCGGCATGCGTCGTGTCTATACGGCACCACCCACACGATCAGTCAATAAAACAAGGCTCCCTGTCAATCGACACAACGGCGAGGAGAAATTTCGGCTTGGTGCGCTTCCTACTAGCAAATGCCGGATACACATATGTCCAGCGCAGAGCAAAGAATGAGCACGGTCGCCCCCATGAAATGACAGGGATTTCAGCCACAACTGCACCCGCAAAGTCACGAGTGAAGCCCAGATACCCAACATCAGAGTGGCAAAATGACACGACAACAAACACGCTGCCAGAGCATTGATGCATGGCTACCTTACTTGGTGTTCTCGTATCATACAAGATACTATCTGATCACGCGCACATATTGTTACACTCTGCAATAGCGTCATCCGCGAAGCATGTCGACCTCTGAATGTCTGATTGACATGGATGAACATGTCCTTAGAAACATCAAAAAGAGCCAAGATTTTCATTTTGTTTTTCGGAACAATCCGGCGCAATGGTGGATTCTTGCGAGCAACTTTTAGTTTGGGAGCAGAGCCGCATATATTACAGCGGTTACTCTCTATTTACCAGCGGGAGCCGATCGCTCTGGTTAGTAACTCGCCACCACAGAACCCTCGTGCCAGGCTTGCTGTACTTCTCACCGCTACTCAACTTTTCAGTGACCAGCTACTCGAGATGCGCCTGACTACTCATAGCCTTGATGATCATTTCCATCTGAATGACACCACACTCAGCCTCACACCAGACCCTGTGCGCCTAGTGGAAATAGTACATGCCGTCTCTGACTACCAGCTGCTCACGAAGTAGTAATCCTGTTATGGAAACTGCAAGCTTAGTACGGAATCTCTCCAACGCCTGGTCACAAGATTCTAGCGCGATTATGACTGAGTTCACTGCAAGTTCATGCTAGATCGCACGGCTTATAGTAAACGGGTGAATCGATTTTATGAAGTTGGGCTCGCATTTGGCTGGTGGACATTACACAAAAGGCGCCATTTTGGAACAGTATCCTGCGAGGCGGGCGAACAATCAGTCAAGACCACGTGCGTGGTTTTGCCGCCCCATTGTTGGTCTGCATGCTGCCCCAGAACTTTTGTCCAGTCGCCCTACTTTCGGAATACCAACATACAACGGCATAGCACTAGCTTCGTATCACATAGGCCCTATATGTGTAACACCCAGTACTACAAAAAAGACTTGCATTCTGACTCACCTTAATGGAGTTGGTCCGACCTAAGCACATGAGCAGGGTTGCCCAGCTCCACATAATGTTGTCCTGATGCAATGGCTGAGAATTGGATAGAGCATCGGAGACACCGATGAAATTGGGCCCAGGCTGATCAACATACTCAACCACCTTACCCGCCGCTGTCTAAAAAAGGTTTCAACGTAGCGATCGACGCATATCCCCCAGGAGCCTAAGTATACACGCTAGTGGGCTTCCTGAGCCAACCGGCTATATGGAGGACTAGAAGATAAGCTACGAGCTGCAATAGATTCGGTGGAGGTGGCGGTCACGCGTACTACACGTGGCGAGTAGCATACACAGTGCATTGAGGCGGCATTATACACGTGTAAACCTGCTTCCCTGTATTTCACAGGCCGAAAATCCTACGTACGTATGCTGCGACGCGCCTCAGTGCCTTTCGGTCATAGTCCTGTTTGCGGAGTTGCTCACATGGCTCACCACGATGGCATCAAAACCAAGCGGAATCGACATGTTGAAGTCAAAAATCTGCAAATGGGACCATGAAGAGTCAGAAGGCGACTAGAGACACAGCCGCATACCTCTTTTCACGAGTCGGTGGAAGCATCATATCGAACCGAATTTGAAAAGAGCACTATTGGTATTACAAAAGATAAGATTGCATATTATTATTATTATTATTATTATTATTGATTAACGTCCTGTCTCAGCTGGTAGGCTATATAAGACGTGCAGG